ATCCGCCTCTTCCGTGGCGGCAAAGCGGCTCCAGCGCCAGGAGTGGCACCGAACCGGGTGGGGTGTGGTACCAGTGGCACTGGGAACTGTCACTGAGAGCGGGAGGAAACCCCCAGGGCCAGGGAAGAACCAGGCGGGAGGCGTCGGGAACCGAACAGACCCCAGTGTTTATTTACAATCATAAAAAACCCCGGCACCGCGCCGGGCACGACGCTGGAAACGGGGGGAATTCACCCAAAAACGGGGCGACTCGTGGTACAAAAAGAGCCTCGGTGGTTACGAACCGGCACCGAGCACCGTAACCGCGGAACCCTCTAGAAAAACTCAAATAAAGAGCGACAAACCGAAAAAAGCAGCTAAAAAAGGCCAGTCCGTGCGCCGGGAGCGGCTCACAGGCGGCGCTGGTAGCCCGAGTGGACGCGGGCGGCGGGCAGGTAGTCGTTGTACCCGCCCGAGTACCGGGCGTACTCGGCGTGCGCGTCCGGCAGCCGGCGATAGTCCAGCGGGGACTTGGTGGGCGAGCGGCGGTAGCCCAGCGGCGAGTCGGCTAAGCGCCGGTAATCGGCCAGGTCGGACAGGCGGCGCTCGGAGCCGTACCTGGGCGAGAGAACAGACGGGGATGAGTTGGTGGGGGGGGACGACACACAGACGGTGCCCAGATCCACCCCGGCAGCACCGCATCCCCCCCGGGCGCGCGTCGCGGCTGGCACGGCCGGCGCAGGACGGGTCGGGTGCCACAGTGGCTCCGCCGCCGGCTCCCCCCGCCCCGCCCGGAGCCCCATCCCGCCCCGGGGACGTAGAGCACGAGCGGAACCATCGCGCCCCCCGCACCGGGCGTTGGCGTGCCGGTGCCACGCCGGTCAAGCCCCGAGGGGCACGCCGGTGCCCAGCGAGCCGGCACAGGGTGAGCGGCAGGGGCGGGTGCGGGTGCCCCGCCCGGCGCCGTACCTTTTAGCCAGGGCGGACGATTTTTTGTACGGGTCGTCGTAGACGGCGCTGCGAGGCGGGGACAGGCGGGTGCGCTCGTAGGGCGGTGCGGCGGCGGCGGCCTGAGCCAGGCCCAGGTAGGAGCCCGCCGGCTGCCCCAGCTGGCTCGGCCCGTCGTAGGCGCTGCCCGGCTGGGCTCGGTACGCGGCCGCCAGCGCGGCGGAGGACGGCTGCTGCGCCGGGTAGGAGGCCGCCATGGCGCTGGAGGCCTGGGCCCGGTACGCGGCCGTCAGCGGGGCGGAGGCCTGCGCCTTGTAGGAGGCGGCGGCGGCAGCCTGGCTGCCGTAGGACGCGGCCAGCGACGAGCCCGCCTGCGCGCCGTAGCCGGCGGGGAGCGCGGCGGCGGTGGGCTGGCTGCCGTAGGACGCGGGCAGGCCGGCGGCGGGCTGGGCGCCGTACGAGGCCGAGTGGCCCACGGTGGGCTGGGCACCGTACGAGGAGAGCGCGGGCTGGGCGCCGTAGGAGGCCGAGTGGCCGGCCACGGGCTGGTAGGCGGCGGTGGCGTGACCGGTCACCACCTGGGCGCTGTAGCCAGCGGAGAGCGCGGTGCCGGGCTGGGCGCCGTAGGAGCCGGCGTGGCCATCCACAGGCTGGCCGCCGTAGGAGGCGGCGGCGGGCTGGGCGCCATAGGATGCCACGTGTGTGGCCACGGCCTGGGCGCCGTAGGAGGGAGCGGGGCCGGCGGCAGGCTGGGCGCCGTACGCAGCCACGGCGGGCTGGGTGCCGTAGCCGGACGAGTAGCCGGAGGCAGGCTGGGCACTGTAGGAGGAGGCCAGGGCGGCGGACTGGACGCCGTAGGAGCTGAGGGAGTTGGCGGCGGGCTGGGCGCCGTAGGCGGCGGCGGGCTGGGCGCCGTAGGAGCCGAGGGAGTTGGCGGCGGGCTGCGCGCCCGCGGCGCCCAGGGAGCCGACGGAGGGCTGGGAGCGGTAGGCGCTGCCCAGCGAGGCCGAGGGCTGGGTGCGGTACGCGGCCGCCTGGCCCGTGGTGGGCTGCAGGCGATAGGCCACGCCCACGGAGGCCGAGGGCTGGGCGCGGTACGCGGCGCCCAGCGAGGCCGAGGGCTGGGCGCGGTAGGCGGCCGGCTGCGCCGTCACGGGCAGCGTCACCGCCGCGTAGCCGGCGCGGGTGGGCGAGCGCCGCAGGGGGCTGCGGTCCCTGCCGAAGTAGGAGGGGGAGCTGGGCCGGGCCGGCGCCTCGAAGGCGTCGTACTTGGCGCCAAAGCGCTGCTGGTAATCGTACAGGGACGAGGCGGTGCCGTAGCCGGCGCCCGCGGCCGAGGGGAAGGCGGCGTCGGCCACCCGGCGCTGCTGGTCGAAGCCCTCGATCTTGGGCTGGAACTTCTCGCGGTACTCGAGGCCGATGCGCTTGGTCTTGTCGACGCCGAGGGCGGGCGGCGGGGCCTGGCCCCCGCCCTTCTTCTGCACGTTGGTGGAGAGCTCCACGTTCACCCGGCGCCCCTTCACCTCCTTCCCGTTTAGGTTTTCGATGGCAACTTTAGCATCGGCTTCGTTCTCCATGTGCACAAAGGCATAGTCTGACAAAGCAGCAGAGAGAGCAGTGAGGGGAGAAAACACAACTCGTTAGCGGAGCCGGCGCTAACGAGCCGCGGGACGGGCGCAGGACGGGCACAGACGGGCCCCGCTCCGCCGGCGAAGACGCGACCGCCTCCATTGCTCCTGCCCAGAGAACCTCCCAGAGCCTGAGGAGCCCCCGCCTGCCCGGCCCCACCCGGCTCACAGCCCCCCCACGGCCCCGCTGGTCCCTCTGGCCCCCCCTTCCCTGCCTCCTGCACCACCGTGAGGGTGGGGGAGTCCCCCCAGCCCCTCCCCAGGCACACGGGGACCGAGGGCCCCGGCGGCCCCGGCAGTGTCGGCACCGGGGGCTCACTGGGGCATCCCGGCCGTGAGCGGAGCAAAGCTGAGAGAACCGGCGCCAGCAGAGGGAGGGGGAGGGGGAGAGAGAGGAAAGGGGGGAGAGGGGGAAGAGAGGAAGAGGAAAGGGGATGGGGGGGACAGACGGGAAGAGAACTGGAGAGAGAGAAGGGAAGGAATTGAGAGAAGGGAAGAAGACAGAGAGAGAGAGGAACAGAGAGGGAGAGCAGAGAGAGAAAAAGGGAAATAAGAGAGAGAGAGGGGAAGAGGAGGGGGGAGGTGAGAGGAAGGGCCCCGAGCACCCCCTGTGAGTGCCTGGCCGTGGCGAGGAGCCGGTGCCACACGGCACAACCGCGGCACAGCAGCGCAGAGGCGTCAGAGACAGGAGAGCGAGAGCAGGGGAAGCGGGACCCGGGGGCTCGGATGCCCCCACGGTAGCCAGGGCTCCCCCCGTGACACGACGGGTCCGGGGCCGGCACGGGGAGCACAGTGACCCCGCGGTGCTGCCCTCAGGGTCACAGACCGGGACCGCTGGAACCGGCGACCGCCCTCCCCATGGTGTGCCAGGAGCGTCGCTGGCAGAGCAAACCCCCTCTGGACCCTGCACTGAGTCACCTCCTCCTGTGTCCCCTCTGCCATCCCGCCCTCCTGCCTCCCGTCCCAGCAGCCCAAGGAGGGCAGGGGATGTCCCCTCATGTCCCCCCAGCCCTCCTGTCACCCCCTGAGCCCGAGGGGACGCGGGTGGGTTCTGCTGGGCTCCGCTGGCAGCTGCGACCTGGGACGAGAGAGCAGAGCAACAACATCCCCCTCCTGTGGGCGAGGGGACGGCAAAGACGTCACCAGGACGGGGGGACACGTGCGTGGTGGGACATCATTGTGGGACATCACTGGGGTGGGGGGACAGACGTGGGCATGGCAGGGTGACACCTGCGTGTGGGGGCAGGTGGGGTGGCACCAGCTGTGCGACACCTTTGCCACCAAGGCTGGGGAGATGTGGTGGCACTGCCACGCTGTGTGACACGGGGGTGACACCTTTGGCACCAGGGGGACACGTGGTGGCACTGCCACACTGTGTGACACCAGGGTGACACCTGTTCATAGCAGGGTCAGGGCGAGGGGGTGGCACCATCGCACCCTGTTGGGGGTCCCCAGTGTGGAGCCGCAGAGCCCCTCGGGGGGGTTTCCCGGCTCCCTCGCCCTCAGGACGTGCCTGTGGAGCAGGACGGGCCGCGGGCTGTCCCAGAGGGTGCAGCGAGCAGGGCCGGGGGGAGGCGGCGCTGGAGGGCGGGATAACGGGGGTGGGTTTGGGGGGTAGGGGGAGTCCCGTCAGAGCCGCACAGCCCCGCCTGGGGCGGGGGAGGCGATGGAGGAGGACACGGGTGGCTGGAAGGGGGAGAACAGGGAGGTTCAGGGGTCGGGGAGCCCACGGGGGCTCGCAGAGTGAAGGCGATGGAGGACATGTGCCCTCAAGGGGATAATGGGGGGGCTCGGGGGGCGGGCTGGGGAGCCCAGACAGGCTCGTACAGCCCCACCTGGGGCCGGGGGAGGCGATGGTGGAGGACGTGGCTGCCAGGACGGGGGTTCTGGGGGGCTGGGTCGCCCACACGGGCTCGCACGGCCCCACCGGGGGCTGGGGGAGGTGGCGATGGAGGACGCGGCTGCCAGGACGGGGGTCCTGGGGGTGGGTTCAGGGAGCCCCCACGGGCTCGCACCACCCCCGCTCCACAAGCCCGGGCAGCGCCGGGGTCCGGGCGGGGGCGGCGCCGCAGTCGGACGGAACTCGGGTCCCTCGGGTCACCCGGCGGCGCGGGCCGAGCTCGGCGGGGGCCGCGCGGCCCCAGCGGCGGGTCCGGTACCTTTCACCACGTCGCACTCCACCACGGGGCCGTACTGCTGGAACAGCGAGCGCAGCTCCCCGCTCGTGCACGCGGCCGACACGTTCCCCACGAAGATCTTGCAGGTGTTGGTGGGGCGCGGCCGGGACGGCTCCACCACGATGCGGCGCCCGTGCAGCTGGTGCCCGTTGAGCTGCGAGATGGCGCGCGCGGCCGCCGCCTCGTCCCGCAGGTGCACGAAGGCAAACTGCTTCATGAGGGCGATGCCCAGCACCGGCCCCGCGGCGCCGGCGAACAGCTCGCTCAGCTCCTCCGCCGTCGCCTCCTCGGGGACGTTGCCCACGAAGAGTTTGATGCCGGGACGCATCGCGGCGGCGGCACAGGCGGGGAGCGAGAGCGGAGCGGGGACGGGCAGCGGCGGCGGCCTCAAAATGGCGGCGGCTCCTGACGGCGGCGGGGGCGGGGCGGGCCGTGCGCAGCGCGCCTGCGTGCCGTGTGCACCGCCCTCCCCTCAGCGCGCCTGCGTGCCGTGTGCACCGCCCCCCTTTGCGTGCCGTGTGCGCATCGCTCCGCCCGCTCTTTTCCCGCCGCGCTGTAGCCCCGCCCACCTCCATCGAACCACGCCCCCTCTTAAAGGAGCCGCCGCCCCCCCAAAATCCGCATGGGCTGCAGAGCGAGGGGCGTTTATTGGGGTCCCGCGGGCTCCTAGAGGTGGGGGCCGGGGGTCCCCGCGGGGGTGGCGCTGCTCCGGTCGCGCTCCTCCCACAGGGTGACACCATCGCAGGAACAGACACGTTTGGGGTTCTGGAAGAGTCCGGCGGCCCGAGCCACCACGCCACAGGCCAGGCTGGGGGGCACGGGGAGGGTCAGCCCCAAGACACCCCCCAAACACCTCCCCAGATCCACCCAAACACCCTCAAAACTCCCGTCTCAAATCCCCCCCAACTCCCACACGAACACCCCCTGAAGTCCCCTCTAAACCCCCCCAGACATCCCCCAAACCCCTCCAGCCCCCCCCAAACACCCCCCAAAAAGGCCCAAACATCCCCCCAAATCTCCCTCCAAACCTCTCAAAATACCCCTCAAATACCCCAACAACCCCAAACACCCCAACAGCCCCAAACGCCATCCCAAAACACCCCCAAATCCCAACATTCCCCCCAATCCCCCCCCAAACCTCCCCAAATCCCTCACAGCTTCCC